ATTTATTTATGTCAAGTAAATTTTAATTTTTTACTTAATCAAGAAATATCTAATAAAGGTATTAGTTAAATGTGACATTTAGTAATTGATATTTTAACGTCTATACATTCAAATGCTTTTAACATTGTTTAGACACAAAATTAAAGGAAGAAGGCAGTGTTTTTGCTGTTAGATTTTTATTAATAAAATTTTATTTGTACTGTTGCTGATATATTTAAAAGTACTTTAGCTATAATTAATTTTTTTCTTCTAGAAGAGTAGGAGCAAAAACTAAGAATAACTAATATGATTTATGAATCAAAGATAAATTTATTTGATAATCAAACCATTTATTTTAGTTTGAAGTTTATTTTAGTTGATTGTTTCGTTTGTTTTCTTACTTTAATTTCAATTACTTTAATCAAATTAAACAACTATATTATAAAAATATTTCTGTATTACCTTAATCAATTATTTTGAGGTGCGTTTTTTTAACTTTAGTGTCAGGGAGAAATGTAACCATTTGGCGAAAGAGTTATTAAATAAATATATCATATATATATATATATATACTTTTTAACTGGTAGGGTTATGCTTTTTATTTTTATTAAAATGTATTAAAGTTAACATGAAACAACTAAGGAAAGTCAATAACAAGAGTTGACAATGTCTTTTTATCAGTAAAGATTTTTTTTTATTGCTCTTTCTCTGGTAATTTTTTTTTTTTTTTTTTGTCCCGTGGATTTTTGGATCAACGGTTCAAACTCTACTTACAAACAGTTATGTAATGTGTTCATACAAATATGCTGTGTGCTGTTTTTGTGTGTTATCGTTGTTGTGATGTTTTGTGTTAATAGACGGGTTGTTTTGCTTTTCGTTTTTTTTTACTTTTATTTCTACTTATCCGTTAAATTTTTTATTTTAGATTTGTCATTAATGCAATATAAAAGAAAAAAACATTAATGCAATATAGAAGAAAAAAACCCTGACGCATTAATGCAATATAAAAGAAAAAAACTTTACTTATTTTTATTAAATTGTCATAAACATATTGGATTGTATATTAAACATTTTTGTTTAAGACAATTTTGTCATCAATTGTTTAGTTGGCGGTGTCGTGAAGTAATTTGAGTTTTTTTTTTCTATTAGAATCTATCATTTTATTATTTACTGTTTGCTGTTAATTAATTTAAACCAATTTTTTTACTAGTAGATTTTATACTTTTAATTATTATTTAATAGTTTTATTTATTTTTCATTTTGTTTTGTTAATTGATACCGAATTCAGATTTAAAACTTTCCATATTATTTCATTAAAAATATTAGTGGTCTACAAATTTTAAAGTATATAATATAATAATAATATTAAAATTTTACAAATTTAAGCGTATTTAGTATTATATGTATTTAAGGGTGTATTTAGGGCTTGGCTGAAGTCCTTTTTTACTGCAGTATAGAGAGTAATGCGTAAATAACAGGGTAAAGCATAACTAGCTATGATGTTTATCTCACAAGGTAAACTTGGTATTGATCCTATTTGTATTAGTGCTATTTGTATTGGTGCTTTTGCTGGTATTGGTGCAAAGTCTTTTTAAAACTCCGGTAGTAATAAACACGATTCTGAAGAGAAGTTTATTACCACCACTACATCAATTATGATAACAAATAAGCAATAATGTTTTTTCTTATCTTATACCTCCTATCATTTTATGTTGAAATATTTTATAAATAGTTTTATTTTAATTATTGCTAAATCGATATATCGATATATATATATATATATATATATATATATATATATATATATATATATATATATATATATATATATATATATATATATATATATATATATATATATATATATATATGAGAATGTGTGTATATGCATATTTGTTATTACAGTAAGATTAACTCGTGTATTTAATGAAAGTTTATGATTACTGTTTTAGATTTATTTTAACAATAATACGCTGCACAGTGACTCAAGACAATCAAAAAACGGCAAAAGTTAAATAAAAATTGATATAAATCGTAAATAAATAATGTTATATATTAAAATAATAATTTTTGAGTTAAAAATTTTAAATTTGTTAATATTTTTTTTTTTAACGCGCAGCTTCGACGCATAAAATGCGCGCTTACGCGTGTTAAAGGTGACTATACGCGTACAAAAATTTTTTTTTTCAGTTTTTAGAATCTCCAAGTCAAACACATAATTTTGATATATTACTCTACTTGATATTTTTATAAAAATGGTTTTTAAAGGATGTTGATACATAGAGAAAAAATACTGTATTTTTTTGCATTAAATTTACTATTTACATTACAATTAATTTAAAAACTTTATCTGGTAACGGTTTTTCTAGATAGCTTTTATATTTTCTAAAAGATATGCTTAGTATTTTTGGATCTGATTTAACTAGAAGGTAGTGCATCTGATTCATCATTGTGTTTAACCTTGATATTTTTGCGTGTGCATAAGTCTTGAATTTCTTATCTGATTGTTTTCAAATCTCTAGTGCATAAATCTCTAGTGCATCTTCCGAATATACCCTGATTGGCAAAGTTAATTTATTTGATATAGAAGAACTATGCAGTAGCAGTTTATGTACAGTAGGAGGCATAACATACCAGTTGTATAAACTCACTATATGTTTAGCTGTTTCAGTGCAGTATAAATCTAATTGATATTAATAGGATATCCACAAGATATGGTTATTAGAATATTATGCAATCTTTTAATTATATCACAATCAACTTTAGTAAGTTCAGAAAAAACTTCACTATTTTTAAATGCTCTTCTGGCAGTGTTGTCATTCGTGTTTCCAGACCCAGTTTTAGGCATATCAACGTATAGGCTTAACCGTTCTCTAAAGAGTACCTGAATCTCTTATTTTTTTAAGTCTACAGATAGTTTTTCCTCAATTGTTTTTGGCTTATACTTTTTAATTTCAATTTTATAACTGAAATTAAAAATGAATTCCAAGCATTTTATCCAGCAATGCAAAGCTGAAATTCCGAGCCCCAAGGCCGAATCATTCTCAGTTTTTGCTTTTAATAAATCAATATTGTTCATTTCCTTGGGTTTAGCATTGCACACTTTGCAGGATTGAGTGGATTTTGTCTCTGTAAGTGCGCTAACTACTTTTTTATCAAACATTGTAAGATCAAACCTATAGCTGATATCAAATGTCAAAATTCTTCCTGCAATATTAAAAACTTTGCAAAACTTCTTTAAGGTATTTATTTGATTTTTTAGATCTGATTCTTCTTCTCTGGATAAAATTGGACTCTCTTTTTTATATTGTAGATGAAGAGGTGTACAAAAGTGACAGCTTGAAGGATTTTTATTTTTCCAAATTTCGCCATCTTCTACTTTGAGCAAAAAAGGCACAAAAGCTGTACTGAAAAAGATTTTCTTCATGCTTAAGTTCTACACTTGCGTTGCTTGTATCGTATTTCTGTTTATAAATACTTTGGCTTGATGCTCCATCAAAACCAATCTTTCCATATAAAACTCCAAATATTTCATCACTTTGACCAAAATTAGGCATATCAATCATTTCTGTTATTCTACTCACAGTGTGATCTAACATGCTTTGAAGAGTACACTTTGCAGAAGTTTCAGAAAAATTCATATTCTCAGGATAGCATTTCAATTGCTCCACGAAAATATTGTGCAAGATAGGACAAATATGTACATTGTGTACAAGAGCTGAGTTTCTGATCATTTGATATTGTTTATCGCTGAGATCAGTATTCCTTTTTAATGCAAGAGCTTCCTCTACACTCATGTTAATGGGAAAGGTTTTATCTAAAGTTTCATCAACTTTTTCTCTAAAACGTTAGGTATATTGTTTTTTAAATAGAGGCTTTTTTTTTTTTTTCCAGCAGCATTTGCACTTTTTGTCTTAAATATAAACAAAAAAATCAGACTTTTTTTCTTCTTTTTAGTATATTTGAAATATATAGAGTCAAAATATTATTTTAAAAATAAATATACACTTTTATTTAAATTTCAAGTTCTCTAATTTAGTTGAATAAAAACCTCACATTTTCCAGATTTCTTTAAAAATAATAACAAACTTTTTCACTTCTTTTACCTATAAAATACAAAATAAAAGCTTTATGAAAAAATTATTTTTACTTTTGAAATAAAAAATCATTGTCATTTAATATTATCTAACAAACGGCACTTAATTCATAAAAAAGTGGTGAGGGGTTTATTGCCATTTTGTTGTTGTTTTGAGTCAAATGTTGAGTCAAACTGTGCGCTGTTAAGTGTGATTTGTGTATAAGGTTTTCTCCTTTTATTAAATCTGTATTTTTTTCTGAACATCTGTTCGGTTTTCTTTGTTTTTATTACTTATCCTCTTTTATATAAAAGTTTTTTCAAGATAAACATTTCATATTTCTCTATGGGCTTTCTTTGCCCAGTTCAGGCACCGCAGATTACCTGCATCAAGTTTAAACAAAATTATTCTGATGATTTAATTACTTTCAATTTAAAGGCATTTTTCTAAAAGTGTTCAATTCTGAATTTAAAGTTTTATGTAAAATCAGGATGATCGAGCATTAAGTTGGCAAACACCCAGTATAAATGGTAGATGTATAACGAAGCAACCGTAACATGTATTATGTGTAGTTTTTATTATTAATGTCCTGTTGAGTTGATTATTCGATGTGTTTTCGTATAAGATGTTTTCTAATATTTATACATAAAGATTTCTCTAATATTTTATTTGTTTTTAGAATTTCTAAATAATAATTTTCGTTTTAATCATAACTGGCTAGTGCTATAAAGAAAAGTAAAGTTTCTTGTTATCAAGTAAAATTAATTTCTATGGCAAAAGATATTTTTAAAAAGGATTATATTTTGGACTTGTTAGATATTTTATATGATAGCGCTGTTTTCGAATTTACAAGTTTTGGTAAGTTAGTATATTAAATATGGAGATGAATGATTACGTTCATTTTTCATTAATTTTGTATTCTTAATTTACTTTTATTACTTTAGATACAAATGAAGAAATACGTTTCAAGCTAACCATTGAGTTAAAAAATTCATTTATAAAGCAAAATTGTATTGTTTTTTGGACGAAGGAATGCGAGTTAATTACAGTTATTTTTACTGATGCAGCTAGTAATTAATTATACTATATAGATTTTTTTCCAAAACATTTGTATTTAACAGTTTTAATTTTTTTCTCAAAATAAGTCCTTATTGCATTTAATATTTTTCTAAAAGCGAGGGGCTTTTATGACATCTTATATGAACAGCGTTACTACTCCGACGATGACTATTCTCTGAAAATAGACCTCAAAAATTTGGAAGAAAAAATGAAACAATCTTTAAAGGGTGAATATATTTTTGTTAACATTGAAAAATATCTACTTAAATGCGCAGAAGATTGGGAACAAAAATGTTGTCAGTTTTATGCGCCGATATCCATTCTTTGCCAGAGCAGTGGGTATGGAAAAACAAAAATCATGTTTGAAATTGCAAAAAAATATCCTACTATTTTTATTTGTTTGAGAAAGAAAAAAAGTGGATTTCCTTATCGCTCAAGTTTGGCAAATATATTTGATACAAAAATGGAAAAACTAGATACTGCATGTATTTTCTTTTTGGCAGCTTTAAAATGTGCTCTAGATTTAATTAGCGAAATTAATGAAAGTTTTAACAATCAAAATAAAACAACGGAAGACATAAGAAACCATATTGCTCTAGAGTTTGGTAAAACACAGCCATGGCTCAAAAAAGACGAAATGGATGAATTTGTTTTTGATAACGAGACATTAATTGATAATCAAATACAATTAATCAACAGCAATCAAGAAAGATTATTTAATGAGATAATTCCTAAAATTCGAAAAGAATGCAACGATTTAACTAGTCAAATAAATTCACCTCTATTTTTTGCATTTGATTAGTCTGATTATTTGCCAACTTCTTTTGCTGTTTACAAAAACCACTCAAAAAAATGTTCTTTCTATCAGTTATTGAGGAAAGTGTTTCGTAAATGTTTTCTTTGCACGAAAATTGCGTGTATTTTAACTGGTACAAGCTTTTCCATCATTAACTTTAATATGAGTGAAATATCACCATCACAACGAACGAGCGAGCCAGTTAAACTTAATTATCCTCCTTACTTTAAAATCTTATTTAATGATTTCTTTGTACCAAACATCTAACTTAGAAATTCATTTATAGTTGAGTTAGATAACAACTTATTCTTGTTAAATTAATGTTTCTTTTTTTTTTTTTTTTTTTTTTTTTTTATTTATTTATTTTTTTTTTCAATATTGTAAAAGATGAAAAATAGATAATTAAAACCATATGATTTCATTTATTAGTCCATTAGAAGTTACCTCTTTTTTCTCAAATAGTTGGTCTGATTATTTATTTGCATTAGTTAAAAAGTAGATAAATTGACATAACTAATCAGTTTTTGTTATAAAGAAAAAGTTATTACAAATTGTGGCGGGTCTAGCTCGTTTAGGGCCTGAGGCTAAAATATTTTCGGGGGACCATAAAAAAATTTATTGCAAAAACTTTTGCTATTCAAATATGTGCTTAAGTGGTACATTAAATCATAGTCAATATATTAGAACTATGGTCTGGAAGTCTATTGTTGTATGATATTGTTCGCGTTTATTTGTGTCGCGTCATCAATGAGTGTGCAAAACAAAGTTCATACAAACCAACAAATTTTATATAAACAAAGTTCACAGTTTTATTCAAAACTACAAACAAGTTATGCCTTGCAGGATTTGTGCTTTCCCAACTTGTACAGTTTCCTATACCAATAAACACAGCTTTATTAGCAGCTTCCAAATTCCAACAAGAAAATGTGTGTCTGACTGGAAAAATTATATTGTTAAAGTTTTAGATGGGTCATTACAAGATAGGATTGATGCTGGTCATGCTTATATATGTACACGTCATTTTACACCCGAAGATATTGAGTTGACAAGTAAGTTTATTTTCAATTATTATATATATATATATATATATATATATACATATATATATATATATATATATATATATATATATATATATATATATATATATATATAAATAAGTATGCACCTTTTGATTCTTAATTACCCTCTGCAAAATGCCTTAGGCGTGTAACATATTTGCAAGGTAAGCAGCTAAAACTTTCTAGTTACTGTATGAATCATTAGTTAGGCTATGTGAAAATAACACATCTCAAAGGTTTCTTAAGCAATATATATATATATATATATATATATATATATATATATATATATATATATATATATATATATATATATATATATATATATATATATATATATATATGTTTATATATATATGTTTATATATATGTGTATGTGTGTGTATATAGAATCTGGTCGCAAAACATTGAAACTTGGTTCAGTTCCAACATTAAATTTACCTGTGAAATCGCGCAAAACATTTACAGTTGAGCGAAGAAAGCTTGAAAAAGTTTATATCAATAAACTGAAAACCAAAAAAGCTGTTTGTTACGAGAATCTTAAAGACTTTGTGTCTAATTCAACAAAATTAAAGAATGCATATAACTGGCTGATTATAATTGATGATAATAAACAAACTGTTCAGTTTAAAAATTATGAGAAACCATTTCCTCCACCAAAGTGTGAAGTGATTGTAAATGATTCTTTGGAGTTTACATATTTGGTGTTTGGTTGTAAACTTCCAGATGATCATATAATTTTCAAAGATTTTAAACGAAGTATGACAAATGTATAAATACACAACTTATTGCAAAAAGTATCACTGTTCAATGGTTGCAAAGGAATTGAACAAGAAATAATAAATTCCAGTGTATTAACTCATGTTAAACCTTATGATTACGACCTTGATACAATATCTCCCATGCAATATAAAGAAATGAAAAGACATAAAGATTGAAGGGCATGAAGAAAGTGAATGTGATGTTTGTAAAAAAGTTAAATTAATAACGAAAAACAATTTAAATCTAAAATAAAGTTTGATAACACTGTAGCAAAGTTAAAAGCTCCTCTAACAAAAACATCAAAAAACAGAATTGTTCTTGCATTACAACAAGAACGAGTTAAAACCAATGAATTAAAAGAAAAAATAATTCGAATGAGAAAAGAAATTAATTCAAATGGTGTGGAACTCAACAAAGATTTTATTAATGATTTAAATCGCATTGTGGATTCCAACAACCAGAATATGACTCCATTTATGAAATTATTCTAGGAAGAGCAAAAAAAAGCTTCTACTAATCAGAAGAGTTTAAAGTATCATCCTATGATTATCAGATTCTGCTAATCCCTTTCCATGAAATCAACATCTGCATATGATGAACTTAGAAATTCCATGATACTCACTCTGCCAAGTCGCAAAACTCTTAATGATTATAAAAATGCAATATATCCATCAGTGGTGTTCAATCCTAATGTAATTGAAGAACTCAAAATGATGAAGAACTCAAAATGATAAAAAAAATATTTACTCATCTGCTTACCGCAGATGAGTAAATATTTCTTAATGGGGGAAATGATGAAAAAAATGTTTTTATTGGAGGTCTTCCTTTCCTCACCCAGAGACTGCGACTTTCATAGGTTGTCACCCAGAGACTGCGACTTTCATAGGTTGATGCCATAATAATTTTTATGCGATTCTCTTTAGGTGTCTCGTTTAAAAGTTCATGGGTGAGCACCCTTTCATCTTCTGTAAAATACTCTAATGAGAAACAAAAATGAAAATAATAATAAAATAATAACACAGCATTTAAAGAAACTATCATCTTTACTTTATTTTTAAACAGCATATTTGAATACAGCACTTAAATACGCCATTAAATATAAATAGAATAAAACTGTTAATATATCATAATGAAAATCAAAAAATATATTTTAAATAATGTATTTTAAAATATCTAAAACATATAACTAAATTATTACACTCTACCATTAACAAACTTTTGCAACAATAGTGTTATTCGTATAAATATATATTTTAAATATATACTTAATGCAAATATTCATTCTACAAACATACAGTTAAAGCATAAACCTGTTATGGGTCCATTGACTAGATCAACTGCATCTGTTCTTAGGCGCTTCTGATGCGGCTTGTGTGGCTTGTCAGTAATTGGAAGTTGTTTTCTCAGCGTTTTCAAACGCTCTTCAATATAGCCTGATGGGGAATATTTTTTAACTTTTCCCTTCAACATACTGTCTGAAGTAAACATCCTTAAGTAAATAAGTAAAAATATAAAGATTAGTAAAACTAAACTAAAAAAATTTCAACTATAATCCTATTTCCCAAAATATGCAAATAAAAATTGCAATTAGACTTAACAATACTTACATAACCATCACCATTACCACTTCTTAAGGTTGGAAAGCGGTTTATCACTTTTAGTGCTAAAGCCTTTTTTTTCTCTGTATTGGGATAGCTGCAACAATAAAAAAAAAACTATTATGCTGTGTTTAATAACTTATCTACTTCCCCATTTATTTTTTGCAGTAAATTATTTATTTATAAATTTTAGTTTAAATTTAAAATAAAATTAATTAAAATTAGTTTTATTAACTGATTTTACATACTAATACCAAAAAATGCAAAATTAAAAATTAAAAATCATATGCAAAATTAAAAATTAAAAATCATATTCATATGGTTTCTTAACCAGTTACTATCTTTTACAAGATTTCCAACAATGATACGCACAAAAAGATCTTTCATCAAGACTAACTGTCTGGTTTTTTCATATTCGGATAAGATTGATGCACCTTTAGGAATACATTTTTGCTAGAAATGTTTATTTTGTCTTTGTCTCTTTTGGAATTCTTTTACTTGATCTTTTCTCAATGAATATAAATTTTTTTTACAAATTATTATAAAAAATATTATTAACAATACAAGATCTTTATTTGATTCCCCACTTTTAGTGGCTTTCATTTGTAAAATTGACACTGCTACATCAAATCTTTAAAATTTGTTTTGCATATTTTTAATTGAAAAAGCATGACTGCAATGTTTTAAAGCCTGCTTCAAGGAAATTATGCATAACAAATACAATTACTTGTAGTGTTGTAATTAGAGCACAAGAAGTTTCTTTGGTTAATATAAAGTATTTATCAAATTTTATTTTGATCAAAAAAAGTACAATTTGCAATTTCTTTATAAAGTGTGGGTTTGTTATCACCTTTCAAAGCAACATTGCTGAGTTTGATTGGATGAATTGTTTCTGCTTGAATTAAGTATGATAAATAACTTGTAAAACAATGATAAAAATTGTACTGCGTTATTTCTTTTAGAAAAATAACTAAATTACAGTTTCGTCAAATATTGTCGATGTTGACAACTTGTTTGTTGTTTCCAAAATATGTGACTTGATAATTAATTTCTCTTGCTTTTTCTTGCCTGTTTAATAATTGATCTTTTAATAAACTTTCAGAAAGATATTCCCTGCATAAGTTACTTCAACATAGTCTCTGGAAAAATCAAATGAAAAAGAAGAAAAAAACAAAAACATAGTTTATCAAATAACAAGTATGTTTTAAACACTCCTTTTCTAAACTAAATGATAAATTAATAATTTTCCATCTCCATTATATGCTTTATCAAACTATAAAAATGCATTAACATTTGTAGAATGGTTATCGTTAACAACAGCTCTTATTTTAAAATCAGATTTGTGCATTGAGGTAATACACTCATCAATTTCTTTTTTCAAACATAAACCTGTTATGTAAACTTTAGGTGAGGATTTCAAAACATAAGAATAAATTACAATCATTTAAACAAAATCATACAAACAATCATAAAAACAAAAACAAATTCTTTATAAAGATTATTTTCTCAATCTTCATCAAATTGTTTAACACTTTGGGCTGCTCTTAAGGAAGTACATCTTACCCACAAGAAGCAAATAATCACTTAATACCAAATTTTTGTCAATGATTTTTCTAATATATTATAGTTTTTCAATTTGTAATTTTCACCACTGCAAAATCATTTAAATAAAGAAATATGATAAGCATTTATTAGGCAATGAAAAAAAAAAGAATTTTATTAACAGCTATTGACTCCAAAACAGTTGGTATGCCTGATATTTCTTGCCTACTGTAAATAAATGACCACATTTATTGCATTTTAAATGCTGTATGTTTGAGACATGATGCATAATAGAGTATTTACATAATAGAGTAAATATTTTGAAGAAAAATTTATGTTTTCTACTTAATAATTGCAATTATAATAAATAAAAAAACTACAAACCTTTAAAATGATTTCCAATGGAGAGTTTTGGGTAGTTTAAGCAATATTTAAGATTATTTTTAGTAGCATGTTGGTATTTTGATATAGCTATCTGAAAGCCTATTTCAGTACTCTTTGTTATTGGAATAAACTGAAGCAGGCAATCAGTTAACAAAAATTCTAGCAGAAAATAATGTAAGTACTCAAAGTAAAATCTAACTAATATTAAACCATTTTAATAAAATAAAAATAAAACAATTATAGTGCAAACAAGACTCTTAACCATAACAGAAATGAAGTTTTTAAACTAGAGCCGTAAAAAAACTGGTCCCTTAACTTTTTACGGAAAATGCAACAAATCAGGCCGTGCAGTTTGAGTTATATAATTATAAGTTTAAAGTTATATAATTATAAGCTATACTTACATAATAGAAGGTATAACTTCTATTGACTTAAGATTGATTTAAGTAGGCCATGACATATTATAAACAATAACTCATAAATTTTATGAAATTTGTAATAACTTCATATATTGTATATGAAGTTATTATAATTGCTTCATATACAATATATGAAGTATTTGAATACAATAATTACATTATAATAACTTAATTTCCGTAATAAGTATAACATTTTAAAAGCTTTTACTTTGCAGCTCTTACAACAAAGCACTCAATTTTTATAGAATTTTCCTCGCTGTACATGTACTTACCACGCTAGAAATTTCCCTCCTAAATATTTTGATATGGACTCAACACATTTTTCTAGATTTGAGCGCCTGAATTAATTAGTGAACGAAATCGCCAGGGTTAGGGATAATTTTAGGGTTAGGGTTAGGGTTAGGGGTTAGGGTTAGGGTTAGGGTTATGGTTAGGGTCAGGGTTAGGGGTTAGGGTTAGGGTTAGGGTTAGGGGTTATAAGTTAGGGTTAGGGTTAGGGTTAGGGTTAGGGTCAGGGTTAGGGTCAGGGTTAAAGTTAGGGTCAGGGTTAGGGTTAGGGTTAGGGTCAGGGTTAGGGTTAGGGTTAGGGTTAGGGTTAGGGTTAGGGTTAGGGTTAGGGTTAGGGTTAGGGTTAGGGTTAGGGTCAGGGTTAGGGTTAGGGTTAGGGTTAGGGTCAGGGTTAGGGTTAGGGTTTGTGTTTATCCGAGATAATCAGACAAAGTCTGTTTACTCGATATGCAAGCTGGACCTGTCAGCCTAAGGGAAGAAAAAAGGAAACAATTATTACGATATAAGTAATAGATTTATGCAAAGTTTAGACAGGTGTCTAGAGAGAAGTTCAAAGATTAAGGATTACGGGGACAAAAAAGAATTGTCGCTCTTTTTTTTATTTTTTATATAAGTAATTATTTATTTTTTTATTAATTTAAACTTATTGAGTGATCATAGTTTATTTAGATTTTAATTAATTAAAGTTATATTTTATTGTTTAAAGTTATTCTTTAATTATTTTAAATTTTTTGAGAGTTATATTTTGAACGAAGTTTAGCAAAAATTTAGATTTTTTATTAGTGGATTGATATGGTTGAAGTGAATTAATGAGGGGATCTAGGTATCTCTTCAGGGTATGCGTTGGTAGTGGCTTCCCAACTAATATAACACACGCTGATCCAATTCCAGCGAAGCAAACAAGCTAAATGATCTTTAACCCGTACTTAAAACGATGTCGGGTAAGCCGTTGCAAGTTGAACTTCTTACGGCAAGATCTTAACCGACACTTCACATAAGGAGCAGAGCATTATAAAAGCAGCTAAAACTACCACAAGACGAATAGCCAAGCGATAGCGTAGATGTAGGAGTATCGGTTCATGGTATTAGTAGAGGGTAGATTC